TAAGACTGAAGAATTTTCTTTTTACCATTGCTTTTTATTAAATTTTTACACAGTAAGAAAGGAGTAGGTAATTGAGTAAAGAGATAATGAGAGTGAGATTGAACAGAGTGAAGGAAGTGGTCTTAAATCTCGTGCCTATGTGATTTGCAGGAACCTCTGTCCACCTGTAAACGCGCAGGTGGGTCCAGAGTATAACTGGATCAAAGTGGCCTGCGGACAGACATGTCCTGGTTTCTCTGTAGTGTCCGAGGGTTTTTGGAGTTTCAGTGGACCCAAAGATTGCTATGGACCCAAGTACAGACTAGCTAGAGAGAGTACTGTACTTCTCTGTTTATTCTCTTTTCAGAATTCAAAATTGTAATTTCCTGGGGCAGAATTAAACAAAAACATGGATTACAACACATTGTTGTATTTTGTTGTATTTATTGAAGGAAGAAAGAAACAGTGCAAAAAGGATTCAGCAGGGTCAGACGTCTACCACTTAAGGCAGAATCAGACATCTGGCCCAGAGCAGAGGATAAACGTAACATAAGAAGCAGGGACAGTGCTCCCTCACACTTCAAAACTCACCTTCCAATGGGAATGGAGACATAAGACATGACAATTTCACAGATGTTCATACCCACACACAAACCCTGTCATGTCCTGGTGGACAGTGTAAGAACGTGACTATAAGTGCAGAATGTTGGATATACAGTGGGGGAAATAAGTATTTGACCCCTTGCTGATTTTGCAGGTTTGCCCACTTACAAAGAATGCAACAATCTACAATTTTAATCATATGTACATTCTAACAGTGAAAGACAGAATCCCAAAGAAAATTCCAGAAAATCACATCATATGAATTTATAAAAATTGATAACCATCTGATGAGGAAAAACAAGTATTTGACCCCCTACCAAACAGCAAGTATTCTGGCTCCTACAAGTCAGTTAGTCTTTCTTTAAGACACAGCCCCAATCCCAACCAATTATCTACATCAAATACACCTGCCTCACCTCGTTACCTGTATAAAAGACACCTGTCAACACCCAAACAACCAGCATCCAACATCACCACCATGGGCAAGACCAAAGAGCTTTCTACGGACATCAGGGACAAGATTGTTGATCTGCACAAGGCTGGGATGGGCTACAAGAGAATCGGAAAGCAACTTGGAGAGAAAAGATCAACTGTCGGTGCAGTTATCAGGAAATGGAAGAAGCACCACACCACCGCCAACCTCCCTCGGTCTGGGTCTCCACACAAGATCTCGCCTCGTGGGGTGTCCCTGATCATGCGAACGGTGAGGAATCATCCCAAAACCACAAGGGGGGAACTGATGAATCAACTGAAGGCAGCTGGGACCACAGTTACAAAAGAAACGGTTGGTAACACACTACGCCGTCATGGATTGAAATCCTGCAGCGCACGCAAGGTCCCCCTGCTCAAGAAGAAACATGTACAGGCCCGCATGAAGTTCGCCATTCACCACCTGGACGACTCAGAAGAGGCCTGGAAGAAGGCGATGTGGTCAGATGAGACCAAAATAGAACTTTTTGGCCTCAACTCAACTCGTCGTGTTTGGAGGGCAAAGAACACAGAGTACAACCCAAAGAACACCATCCCCACCGTCAAGCATGGTGGTGGCAACATCATGCTTTGGGGGTGCTTTTCAGCCAAGGGGACGGGACAACTCCATCGTATTGAGGGGAGGATGGACGGGGCCATGTATCGTGGAATTCTGGACCAACATCTCCTTCCCTCAGTGAGAGAGCTGAAGATGGGTCGAGGATGGGTGTTTCAGCACGACAACGACCCTAAGCACACCGCCAAAGCAACAAAAGAGTGGCTGAAGAAGAAGCACATCAAGGTTCTGGAGTGGCCTAGCCAGTCTCCAGACCTGAATCCAATTCAATCTTTGGAGGGAGCTTAAAATTCGAGTTGCCAGGCGACAACCTCGGAACCTGAATGATTTGGAGGCTGTTTGCAGGGAGGAGTGGGCCAACATCCCTGCCGAAATGTGCACAAACCTTGTCACCAACTATAAAAACCGTTTGACATCTGTGCTGGCCAATAATGGCTTTTCTACAAAATATTAACATGCTGTTTGTCCAGGGGGTCAAATACTTGTTTTTCCTCATCAGATGGTTATCAATTTTATAAATTCATATGATGTGATTTTCTGGAATTTTCTTTGGGATTCTGTCTTTCACTGTTAGAATGTACATATGATTAAAATTGTAGATTGTTGCATTCTTTGTAAGTGGGCAAACCTGCAAAATCAGCAAGGGGTCATATACTTATTTCCCCCACTGTATAATTCAATTCAAATCAGCTTTACTGGCATTTAACAACAGTATTGCCAAAGCTACATATAAATTACATAAGAACAATTAATTTCATACATTTCATTAAATTAGTACATAAAACAGTAAAAGTTGTGTTTGTGTGTGTTAATAAAACATAAAAAATAATAAACATATTTATCAGCATGAATATGAGACAGATCAATTTTCTGCCACCCAATCCTCTCTCTGGCCACAACGTCAACACAATATCCATATCAAAATTTGCTTGTACGTAATTCAATGCTTACAGTTAACTGTTTGAACAAATGCTTCATCAGTTAAGAACAGAAAATTAGCTTTAGCTGTCTTTTTACAAAAAAACTAAACACTTAGGTAATGGCCTGTATGGGACAAGTGAGCAAACCCACTTTGTCACACTGTATGACACACACACACACACACACACACACACACACACACACACACACACACACCTGCCTCTATCAGCATACTTTTTTTTTGCAGGGCACCTATTCTCTCACACTGTGTTACTGTGTCTTTTCTTCTTCCCTGTTTCTACATCTTTCCACTTCTCTTTCTCTTTTTTATAAGTAGGCTACCTCTGGAAGAAGAGGTAAATGCCCTTTAGGTGGTGCTCCAGAGCTATTTGCTATTTAGGGCCCGAGCACGACTGTGCGAGGTCCCTATTGAATTTGTAAAGATTATATTTTTAGGGCCCGAGCATGACCGTGCGAGGTCCCTATTGAATTTGGAAAGACTTTTTCTGCAAAGTAAGCTCCATTTTGGGGACCTGAGCATACTCGAAAACTCACCAAACTTTGCACACATGTCAGAACTGAAAATTTTGTATTTTATGGGTTTCGCGCATGGGCGGGGCAAAATGCCTCGCTAGCGCCACCTAGAAAATTGGAAAAGATTAGCCCCTCGTTCACGTTCAGCCTACATGTACGAAATTTTCTGGGGACATGTATCATATCAAGACGCACAAAAAAGCCTCAAGAACCCATACCCTAAAGTCAACAGGAAGTCGGCCATTTTGAATTTTACGTCAAATTTTGGATGATTTACACACTTCGTACTTTAACGAACTCCTCCTAGGGATTTAGTCCGACCGACTTCAAATTTCTGCTGTGCCTTCTAAAGGCATTGAAGATGAAAAGTTGTGCTATCTGTGAGTTTTCGTCAATTGGCGTGTCCGTGGCGTGGCGTCAAAAATCAACTCTTCGCCATGACACAGGAAGTTGTTGTAACTTAAGTGTACATGCTCACCTGAAACAAACTTTAGGTGCTTGATAACTCTCCCACCCGCTATGGAGGACCGATCCTGACACAGTCAGAAATAAATTAATGCTCAATAAATAAATAAGCATCCAATTAAATACACAATTCCTTCAGTGCGCTGAGGTGTTTAATAGCTCTGAAGACAATACCAGCCATGTCTTCCGTCTCTTTTCACGTAGACGCTCCGACAGACAGTGCTTTCAGTTTGCTGCATGCATGGACACAGAACTGCGGTATAGGGAGAAGAACACGGTCAGCTGGCTGCAGCTAAATCTGGAGTGCACTCGTATTCAATTCTGTATGGTAAATTCAGTTTTAACGGAGCAGAGCGAGCTGACAGGCAGAGTTAGAGACTTTTTCTGTCTGTTTCTCTCTTTACAAAGACGCATGTTGCAGTCAGAGTCTTCTCTGAGATGCGAGCACGACATACAACACAATTTATCAAATTACACAACGGATATACAGTATGAAAATAAGATTGATTGGATTATACTCACAGGAAGTATAAAACCTGTTACATGCGTCTATTAAAAGGAAATTAACACAAAAATGTCAGGGAAATTACTTTACTTAGAATTAAGTACTGCAGTTGTACATTTGAAATACCTTCCTACCTTTCTGATAGGAAGCCTTCTTGAGGTGGTATAAAACATTTCTTCTTATATTCTGATTTGAGCTGTGGACAACTATGACCACATGAATTAAAAAAATTAAACATTTCACTGCCCAAGTCAGCTATAACACAAGTCTTGTTCAGCCTATTTATTTTCATTCATTACACAATATGAATAAGCTATGCAGACAGTTGTAAAGAAAGAACATCTTTTTCTTCTGTTCTCTACTTGTTATAGTTACACAGTATTAGGGGTGTGGGCTGTATTAAAAGTATCCACTGTTCTCCCATGCTCTAACACACAGTAACGATGAAATGTGTGCTGTTCTCACATTCTTCCTCTGTATGTACACATAAACAACAAGGCAGGGAAATATAAAAGGAATTTATTTTATTGTTTGGGTACATTATTGTTCAGTGTACATGCTCACATCTGAAACAAACTTTACGTGCTTGATAACTCTCCCACCCCGCAGACATCTACACGCCAATACCGATTTATATTCATAGCGGCAAGTGCTATGTAGCTCCACATAGGGGACACAGGAAGTGACATATAGCACCTTCATGCGGCGTCGGAACCGCGTAGGAAATTCACAGCCGCACCGGCAGAGCTCCAGAATGTGCAACTCGGGCGGCTCACGCGCGGACGCGCTTATAAGTAAGAGGGCCCGCCCAACGCTGCTTGCAGCTTTAATTATATTTACATTTTGTCTCAGGACAAGTTTAACTCACACAACAGGTGTAGTTTTAGAAGCCAATTTTGCAAAGTGGACAGGAAGTCACACTGCCCCCACCCCTCCCTTCCCTCACTCCAACCCACCCTCCCATCATGCTATATAACAGTGCCTGATAGTAACCATGCAGAAAATAGCTCTAACAAGAACTGCTGATGTACGGCTCTTCCTTAAGAGGGTAAGTGTCTCTTAACATGCTCTAATAATGTTTTACATATGGTAGCTTGTCTCACTGCTTCCTCTCTATCAAAAAACACCTGTTTTATCCGCTGCTTTAATCCCCTAATTTTTTATTTTGTCCTGTATTTTAACTAGGCTAATAGAATAAAGTGATATTATCAGGGGGAAAAAAGTTGTAGCCTAATAATTCGAGAATAAAGTCATAATAAATAGTTTTGTCTGTCTCTGCGTCCCACTAGAGCAGGTTCATGTCTAAAGGTCCGGTTCCTGAACCGAACCAGCGCCAGAAAGATACATTGTGTAGCCTATGTAAACATGATTAAAGGAAATAAAATGGAAATGCAAAGTACTGCAACAGAAGGTGGGAAGTTAGACTGTTGCGGTGAACCCCTCAAATGGTAAGGCAAGAAAACATGAAAGAGATAGAACAAATACTAAAACAACAAATGTGTCATATATAAAAATAATGATTATTATTGACAAATTATTAGGCCTAATATTATTGTTGTTGTCGACACCTTTGTATATGTAGCACATGGATATACTGCATTAATTTATTCATTCAAGGAAATATAGGTTAGGGATTCAGGAAACATAGGATTTGGTACATTAGGTACGTTGAGGTACATTAACGGCCGCCCAACTATATTTGGTGACCATTTTAAGCATTTTGCAGCGAAACACAGAGAAATTATGATCTATTAGGCTACATTATAAGACTCAGACGGTGGATAATTCACAAGCACGGACCAGGTAAAGTGAACACTTTGATGCAGGTGCAACTGGGTACAATGTTGGTTTCGATTGACTTCCTCAGTAACAAGCCTCCTCCGCGGGTGAAAACGGAATCGCGGGTGGAAATCGCCAGTGTATTGTCATTTCCGCCACTTTATAAAACAGCCCACTGCTGATGGAGAAAGTCCCCAGGGCCGATAAATACAGGGAGAAAGAAAGAAAGAGGTAGGGCAAGCTACTGTGTTTGCAGAAGAGGTGTATGTTCCGTGCTTTGTGTGGAGATGTTAGAAGTGAAGGCAAGGAGAGCAGAATTAAGTAGGCTAGTGAGTAATGTTTTTATTCATGTGTGTTCCAGTGTGGAGCGCAGTGTGTGAGAAAACATTTTTTTCTGCAATGTTCTATAGGCTACTGTGTTCATGTATGTTGCTGGAATCGGTAGCCCTGGTCTTCTTGTAGGCTACCATGGGAGGAGTGTGGTAGAGGAAGGAAGAAAACAGTGCACATAAATGTTCTGGTTGGAATTGACTGCATTAGAGACAGACAGTAACAGCAGACAAACAGACAGAGAGCACACAGACTCTTACTTTAATTTAAACATACTCCTGCATGTGTAAATGTGTTTTAAACGTGTGCTCTAATAAACTATTGAGCATTGTGTGCCAGTCACACGAAATGTTACTAATCTGTTACCAAAGATTTGAAAGCGAAATTGGTTAGGTAAATATGTTCTGAAAAATAGCTTGGAACAAGAAATGTTAAATTACAAATGAAAATGCTTTGAGAAAGTTTATTTCCACAATAAGAAAACATGCAATGCAATTTAAACATAGAAGAAACAAATGTGCATTGTCCAAGAAAGTTACTTAAGCGCTTAAGTGCTTTACACAAAACATATAAAAGCAACAGGGAAATATAAAAAATACACATTAAAAACTAATAAAAGTTACAGTGCAGTGTACAATCAGGGTTAAAAGAGTTAAATGGAAAATAAAAACAGGCTGAGGGGTTGAGCAAATAATTGAGTTACAATAATTCTGAAAAGAGAATAAACAGAGAAGTACACTTAATCTACTCTCTCTAGCTAGTCTGTACTCGGGTCCATAGAAATCTTTCGGTCCACTGAAACTCCAAAAACCCTCGGACACTACAGAGAAATCAGGACGTCTGTCCGCAGGCCACTTTGATCCAGTTATACTCTGGACCCACCTGCGCGTTTACAGGTGGACAGAGGTTCCTGCAAATCACTCAGGCACGAGATTTAAGACCACTTCCTTCACTCTGTTCAATCTCACTCTCATTATCTCTTCACTCAGTTACCTACTCATTTCTCACCGTGTAAATATTTAATCAAAAGCAATGGTAAAAAGCTAAAAACAAAGAAAAAAAATACAGTAAATGTTACAGTGCAGTGTAAGTTATCAATCTACTAGTTAAAGGCAGTGGTAAAAAAGAAAAGCAACAAAAAAGCTACTGATAGGCCGGGGCAACCCGCGACCTTCTTGCTGAGAGGTGACAGTGCTAACCATTGCATCACTGCGCCGCCCATTACTGCATTATATTCCATTTTGTTGTTATATTTTGAATTGTCACCTGGCACCTGAATTTTGTGCTGCCATTCTTAGAAATAAAGACATTTACCCCATAAATTATTGCAGAAAATGTCTCGAGAATGCAGGAAATTAAGAGTTTAATGCTCAAAAGCCCCACTCATATATTTCATTAAGGAATATTTATTCAAATTACTGTTAAAATATCTTCTCGTCTTGTTCTCGTGACCACAGTCTTTCATCACGCCTGTATTCTCAGACCTTATGTCACCACTTCTTTTCAAGACAAAGTGACGCTTGCTGTTACATACAGTAGGCCTACTGCTTATATTGTTTCACCATCTGTACACATATGTAGCCTAAGTAGTGAATGTGTATCCGTGGGGATGCGTGGTAAGGTGGGCTGACGTGCTACAGTGCCAGGGCCGAATTTTTGTCCCAGTCCCCCACGCCGCGTGGCGATAGGATAAGACACATGCCTTCTGACAAATAAAACAATTATAAGTCACTTTGGGGGAAAAAGTGTCAGTTAAATGTAATGTAATGTAATGCATTGGTCAAAACTGAGGTCAGTGTCAAAACTCGTCACGCAGTCAGCGTAACAGAAGTGTATGTGGAGTAAACTGAATAATGTTTTCAAACTGCAAAGTGGAAAGCAGGTGATGTGCTTGTAATTTAGGTTCAGGGGGTTGGTACATGACTGACAGGTTGTGGTCGATGTGTTACCATTTACAATTGAGAAAAATTGTATTGCAGCACTGAAACTTTAGGAATTTGCTTTTTGTTTCAATTTATTATTTTTCACAAATAAATTACAGGAAGTGATATAGACAAGGATATTGTAGCCATTCGTGTAGGAGCCATTATACTAAATCTGTTTTGTCCCCCTCACTTTTCTTATGAGTTGGCTCATAGCGGAGGCTTTTTTACTAGTCAATCAATCACACACTCCACACCAGACATAAATAAACGGCTGAAACGCCCCGATAGAAAACGTGCGACACACCGCAAAGGTGGTGCTGAAAAGTTAAGGGAGAGAAGTTCTCTGGCTGGAGGAAGTTCCTCATTACAGACTTTTCTTTTGTGCTGTAAAAATAAGTATTGGCACCTTTCACTTTCCTTTTTTAAAACTGTACTTTTGCTCTTCACTCTAGTATTTTCTTTGGGCCAGTAATCTACTACCTTCTTAACTTCACCAGTCTGTTATCTGTATTTTATTTCATTAACCGTAAAGAGCTGTCACCCAGACTGTGCCGGGCAGTAGCGCCGTAACTACTTTAACTACATTTGTCAGTAGTAGTTTCTCTATCTTAGTGGTAGCGTCGCTATTTTCTGAATCAAATAGCTTTCCTGTAACGAGGCTTTTTTTTATTGGTCGAGTAGCGCGGTAGCTTCTACACACGTTGCATTTTCCCATGCATTTCTGAAGGATCAGTAAGTGACGCCAAGGCCACGCACGGACCTGTATGTGTAGGTGTAGCCGGCAGAAGCGCTTCCACGTACCGATCCTTGGGCTGCTAAAGACGGAGGAAACTTTGATATGTAGTGGCAGGCCCGGGTGAAAAAGAAATATATTTAAGTAGGCCTAGCACTTTTTTTGGATGCACTTATCATATTTTAATTGTACTATACTAAGTGTATATTAAGTGTGTTACTTTTGAACAACTTAAAGTATGTTAAGTGTAATTTTAGAAATACTTAAAGTCAACTTTAAGATAATTGCAATATTAATTTAAAATACCCTTTTGTGCTATACTTGAAGAACAGTTTAAATATATTTTAAATGTGTTCCCTGAACATTATTATTAGCATTTCAGCATTTTAGTAATTTATTACTAGTATACTCCAAGAGCCACTATTAATATCTTGGGAAGCTGCTTTATGAAACCATTCAGTGTGAGAATAATGCATTATTAATGCATTAAAAATATCTTGCAAAATGCTCTTTTTAATAAACATCAGTTTAAAAAAGTATTTTACAACACACACACATACAGACAACTAAAAAACTTTTAATTTTGTGTACATTACAAAAATGAATTCCCGTACATTAAAAGGTACAGCAGCATGTAACACATCTTGAGCAAAATAAATAATCAAATAAAATGTAATCAGTAAAATGATGACATATGACCAGTATTACTGAAAATTACACTATACACATCCCATCATTAATGTTACCCATGGGGGTCCCTCATGCAGTTTGGACACTGGGCACGCCTCAGATGACCTCACGGCAAACCGTGCCACTTCTGACAACATATGCATCACCCTGCCCAGATTTATGCTTAGCTGAGGTGAAAAAGTTGGTGTATCAATATGAAAACAAACTTACTGAATAAATCATGATATACTGTATATCAAATGTGACTTAAATGTCCACTGAAGCTTAAGCTCCTCTAAGAATAATAAAAATAGTGGCAAATGAAAACATCCCTTCCGTGTGGAGCAATGAGGAGGCTGTAACATTCCTACATGAAACAAACAAGAAATCTCATAATTCCAACATGTTTTCCACAAGGTTCTCCATCGTTTGAACTTTGACTGCCCTTTATTGGACATCATCTCATTGTGTCCTCTTCTTATGCAATGGTTTAATAGCGCTGACGTCACCAACTGTTTATCTCAAAGCGCTTCACTTCTAATATTCATATGGCGGTAGTGGATAGATGGAGGAATTTTGTGATGCATCTGGATGGAAACCTGGCTTATTTCCAGGATTGCAATTTTTATTTCAGGTGAATATTCCACAAAATCCATCGTGCAGCTTTAAATGTTCACACCAGGACTTTGGGGGAAAGCCTTTCTCCATCCATTTGCAAGAGCAATTTTTGAATGAATTCATAGGAGTATTTCAGCTCTTTGGGGTAAGCCATGTTCAGTACATAGATGACTCCCAGCATCATTGCACAATACTTGGTCTACAGATCTAATGTTGTCCAGAATGATTCCTCCTTCAACATAAATGTCAATGTCACCATGAGCTGCAACTTCTCCACCCTCCTTGTTGATGACATATATGTGGATTTCTGCAGGTCTCTCTGGATGTCATCTTTGATGTCCTGTATATTTATAGAATATAGGTGACAAAAAGAAAACATGTATTCATGTAATGGATTTTAATGACTTGAAAACTATAAATTTCTTTTTATTTACACTGGTCAGTTAAAAGTACTGAAAATATTTTTGTCAATTAAGGTTCATGTGAATTAACATATCACAGATTTGTGTTTTTATTACATTGTGGAAAATATCCCAACTTTTCTGGAAATGGGTTTTTTATATTTGTGAGGTGTTAAAGATTTATGTCTTCAGTAGTGAACAATGGGCTTGGAGCAGGGACACAGAAGTCAAAATGGACTCACAGATGGTTTGGTGTTTTAATTGAACAATAAGAAAATAATGCCTAATCATTTCAAGGACCAAACTGTTGGTTTAAAATGTTTTAGCCTATATGAAAGACACAGACAAAGCCAAATTTACATTATTCTATGTTGTTTTACACTTCAGGATTTACTTACTCAAAACAAAGTTTGTCAGAGTCTGTTAATAATTATTGGGTGTCTTGAATGCACCAGGATGTGTTTAGAAAATGGTACCTGCTTTGCATTATTAAATTGTTGATTTATATACAAATATTCTCAACCTTATGGCTACTTAGAAGATAAAAATAAACTTTTTAAAATAATGCTTTGGAAAATGGTCAGCGTTAGTGTTAATGCATTTGTCATCAATGGGCTAAAACATAAAAACACTTGTATGATCCTTACGGTCCTCTGTAGTGACATGCTTTAGTGGCCAGAGCATTTTTCAAGTTTTGCAGTAGTTGATTTTAATAAACAGCAGGCTTCCACACTATAATAACTCTAGACCCCAAAACATGACAGCATGTAGACATTGATAGGACTCAGGGCTCGACAGTAACGGTGGCCCGATGGCCCAGGGCCAGTAAAAAGTAACAACGGGACTGTTGAACTAGCAACTCACTGGCCCAATCAAAAACATTAGTATCAAAAAAACGAAAACAAAAAGATCACATTAGCAACTCAACATCTCAGTCGCGAGTTTCAAGTCTTCTTCAACACAGCATGATGTTCATTTAGTAAATTATGGTCCTGTTTAGGGGGAAATAGACGATAATGCAGTGTATGCTTTAGGGCAGGACTACCAAGCTTCTATAGATTATTTCAACGATTCATCGATGCCTCGTTTAAGAAGTAACCCCCCTGTAACGGGATCAGCTGTGCACGTTTATAGGTGATAGATATTTATTAGTCCTTTCGGAAATTCATAGTGTGTCATACAGCAAACCAGACAGCTGCTTTACAAACACAAACATCACCCGAGTGCTATACAAGATATACTAAAGGCGCGTGCAGACTACACGGCTTTCAGCGTGGGCCGATGGCCGTGCCGTTCACACAACTTGCCGCCATATGACGGCAGTCTTGAAGTCGTTGTGGTGTTCACACTACTTGACTGATTGGTGACATGGGGTCACACACACTACAGGAGCAACAGCTAAGGCACCTGATGCTAGTTTCCAAAAGGGATCGTCTGAGCTACAGAGAGAGGGAGGGGAGTTAACACCCAATTAACTCCTGACTGTGAGGTTACAACTCACGGCCCAAAAACCAGAACAACAAACGCATGTGTGCACATTTTCAGCTGAGGACTGCGGCTTACTTTGGCTTCAACTCAACAATCAATCATGATTTCAGTTAAATGCTAAAGTTGCTGTTACTTTTACCTTGTCTGTGGTCGGCTGGCAGAACACCGGCTGCTTTCTGATAAGGCACCGTTGTGCTGTTGCCGAGGCGACAAAAGTGTTGTTTTACGGTGGACGGACGATAACATTACAGAGTTGTTGTTTTCTTTAGCTTGAAATAATACCACACTTTGGACACTTTGTCCCTAGCTGTTTTCTCTCTCTTCCTCCACTTTGCAAACAGCTCCATCATATTCACGTCGTGTTCACAGCGTAAGCGCGATGTGTGACTGTAAGAAATGTCCCTGCGAAACACTGTGCTGTATAGTTACATGGATTAAACAAAGCATCGATGCAAGCATTTTATGAATCGATTTTATCGATGAATCGTTTCAGCCCTAAAAGAGTTTTGTTAAATGCGCTTACCAAAACAATATGAGTTCCCCAAAGAGTTAGGTTCTGGTCCACATCACACCAAGTTAAGATATATCAGACATGAGAAAGACCTGCAATAGAAATAAAAATGAGCAGGAATAAAAAAGAAAGTGTGATATTTATCTTATTCGATTATAAATTACTTTAGAGCAGTTAGAAATTACATCAGAAATTAATGCTTTCAAGGCTTTAGATGCTACAAGCAGACAGAGACGACATTTTATGAAACGAGAGGGGTGGATTGAAGTTTATGGAAATTGTGTGAATTAGGTACATAACAGATTTGGTTTCTTAAATTATCTACCATTATTTGTACAACAATAAACCCCTGTGGTTATTTACACTTTGTCAGATCATATTGTAAACGATTTTTTATAAACTTTGTGAAATCAGAAACAGAAAAATCTCTTCATAATGCCGTCCACAAGCCCACAACATCAACTACAAGTACATTGTGCGACACTATAACTGAGTCAACAAGTCAAGACCCCTTGCTGCTCTTAGTTTTGTAATACAATTTTCTGTCTTCATGCCATATCACTAACTCTATTAGTATTTGTATTTTTCATGTTCCACTTCTATACCTAAAGTATTAGTTTAAAATTGGGAGCAATAAATGCAGTGCCAAAATAATCAGTCTTTGTGTTTAGAGCAGAAACAACTTTACCTGCTAGCTAAACCCACATTCTTATCCCTGTTGTCATCTGCCTACCACTTCAGGTTAACTGGCCTTTCACGGGACTATCGGATGTGGTCGTGCTCTGCTAGTCATCTTATCATCATATCTGAGTGAGGCAACGATCTCAGGAAGCTCTAAAAGAAAAGAAATGCAGTTGCAAATGAGTTTAAATATTCAGTTAGGCCAGTACTTTCACCTAGTTTTGTTCTTCATTATAAACACTGTAATTCTATTCTTATAGCAAATCTTTATTATTATTCTTTATTTCATTTTCTTGAGCTAAGGCAGGAAATTCCAACTGTGGGTTTTGCATTAAGTTGTTTAAAGTTGACAAAGGGTAGGTTCAACTTTTAAAAGTTGAATACTGGATCTATGACCATAAAAATGGACATAAAGTTGAGCAGTATTTTATATAACATCACATGCTATTATAGTGTGTTGTCAGCTATTGCAGGACATAAAACATTATAATTATATAATAAAACAATTCTCACATACCCGTGTACACTTTAACATTGCTGTTATAACTGAGTTATTGGTCACTGTAATGGTTAACGTTACCCCCTCCATGGTTGCAGTGACGAGAAATCTCTAAAAAACAGTGTACTTGAATGAATTTATACAAAAATGACAACTGTGTGATATCTTTACTGACATTATGGGCAGGAATAATAATGATTACAGTGACCAATAACTTCCTGTAAACATGGACATGTGAGTATTAAGGTAGACTATAAAAATGTGAACCTTTAGCACACAGACAGCAACATATTAGTTGCATTTCTTACTCTGATAAAGACCTCATTGGTCATTTTAACAGTGCATGTGCACAGGCCTGACTTGTTAAAATCTCATGCATCAAATTCCAGCAACAGGTTACTGAGATTGTATATTACAGAAATTTTAGTAACATTAAAAATTGCCTTACAGCAAAAAGCAATTAATTACTGTAACGTTAATTGCGTTTATTTTGTAACACGTTTCTCCCAACACTGTTTATAAGGCAGACGAAAGTTGCTGTCTCAATTATGAAGCTGTTAAAATGCTAACTAACGTTAGCTAACAAATATATTAATCCACTTGCTAGCATTAGCTAATGCACACCAGAGCTATCCACCAAGGAAATTATTTTCAAACCCAGAGTGAGCTCAACTTTTGTTAACCTACACAATTGTGTTGTCTTGCTAACAATAATAAACTTACCCTGAAAGACGATTTTTGCTGGCAGTATCAGCGTCTGTCCTCTTCTGCTTGTAACTTGCCAGGCACGCCTCTTTAGCTCTTCTCATATTTAACTTCTGCAGAGAGCTGACCGGATATTCTTCTCTTCTGTGTTCTTTTCTTATTATGTCTGAGGTGTCCACCTTCCACGTTCGAGTCGGTAAGGTAAAACAAAGGAAACCTAAGAAACAAAATCATTTCTGGCCCAAAATAGCTTCCCTCTCCCAGCGACAGTAAAAACGTTAACTTTCGTGAAGCAGACTTTCACGCTGTATGATTGGGTCGTCGATTTGAAAACCTTGATTCTGATTGGTCCAACTGAATGCACTGCTAGTGGGCTGGGCGGGAGGGCACACTTCACCCCTCTGTACACATGTGTTTACTGTTTACACACAGAAACAAGTATATTTACATTGTGATTTAAAGTATGCTTATTTCTATATGTTGTTGTTTAAATTAACAGCATGTGCTGCTTCCTTCTTGGCCAGGTTACCCTTATGAAAGAGGTCCCTGATCTCAACTAGCTATTTACCTGATTAAAAAAAATTAAAAGAAAGACAAGGAATGAAAAAAAATTATAATATGCTTTTGAAAAATACATTTTAATGTTAAAAAAATATGTTTTAAAACTCATACTTTTGGAAATCAGGCTGAAACATGTGGCAATTACATAAATAATTACAATATTTTGCAGTAGCCTACACAATGAAGCAAATTTGGCATAAATATTTTTAACCCACTGAAAGTGTAATTGTTTGACAATGTACTTCCGCAAAGTACACCTAAATAGTATTTACCAAGAGTTAAATAAATATATTTTTAATAAATAGACTAAAATGTTGTAAAAAATATACTTTTATTTAAGCATATTTATTAAAGGTTTAATTAACTATATATTTATTACCAATTTATTCAAAGTATACTTTTGAGAAGTATGTTAAAGCTCAGGAGAATATATCTTTAATATACTTGTAGTAAGCATGTTAGGAGTATAAATGTACTATAAGCATACTATGTGAATTTCTAGTATATTTTCAGTGCCTTTAAGAGCACTTCTTTTTGACTGGGGGGCGGAGCTTCTGTGTAGTGAAGCTTCATTTAATGTAGAGTAGCTAGTAGCTTAGCTCACTACATCTTCCAAGTAGCTTGCCCAACACTGCATTTAGAAAATCAGGCAACTGTCTTTTCAGCCTTAAACTGAAAAGACAGTTTAAGGCTTTATTGTTCTACTATTACAACTGAAATCCAGAGAGCACACATCACCACCATGGTGACCATGTAGAAAAAACTGAGGAGGATGAGCTTGGAAGTTGTATGGAGAGCTACTAAACATAGTCAAGAACTCACGTAGTAAAAATGCTTTGTTAGGCCAATGGCATGTCGTCAGAGTTTACATTGAAGACAGTTCTGTGTTCACAAACATTTGTTGCAGGAAGAGTCAGGGCCAAGTGAGACACAGGAAATATCCCAGACAGCTCAAAAGTGCAACATTAGGATAACTAAATACATTTGTTCCCTGGCTAGCTACATTACAATTTTTCAATTCCTAACAAGCGTTTACCTGAACTTAAGATACTTTATCAAAACTCTTAACACAGCAACACACCTACCTCACATGATTAGTCAAATTGTACATTTTCTGCTCAAAACCACATTTTGTTCTTTAAACACCAGCTCTACATTTCAAAATGCAAAGTAACATAATCTACATACACAAACTCTATCAAAACACAGCAAACCTGACTCAAAATCAAATCCAGACCAGATCAATCATAGCACACCGACTTTCTAAATACAAACAGTTGATGGCATTACAAAAACTGCTGTACTTTTCATGTCTCAGCTCTACCTGCACACAGTAGACAATGTGAAATCTATTGTTTTTTTGTAATTCAGTTTCCTTTTACTGTAAACCATCCTACATTTTTGGCTTGAGGGTCAAATGTGTGCATTTTTGGCAACAAACTATGTAAGTGTCATCTTTACTTTATAGAATGTTGAGTAGGAAAAAAATGTAAGTGACAGAATTACAGAAGTAAAAGCAGTAGTATATTAAGGTCAGCTTTGCGTGCTCCCGCGAACCCCCCTGCCGCACGCTCTCGTGAACGCGCATAGATCGGGGGTGGGGATGTCACGGGGGGGTAGGTGACACGGGGTTTTCCATTTAAGGCCCCTATGAAAATCATGATGATCAGTTATTATCCCTCTATATGCAACAAAGTTATGTTAGATATAGTGTATTATAATCCTTGTGCCTCACCAATATACTGGGAGAAATTTTAAAGCATATAATGCAGTAAAAAGCTGTTTCAAATGCGTGAGTGATTATTTTCTCTTTTCGTTTTTGTTTTAAATTTTCTCAGTAACAAGCTGTTTCAAATGTGTGAGTGATTATTTTCTCTTTTCGTTTTTGTTTTAAATTTTCTCAGTAACAAGCTGTTTCAAATGTGTGAGTGATTATTTAGGCTATTCTTTTCGTTCTTGTGTGACTCCTAAGGACAGCAATTGCGATAACATCCTGCGATGCCAGAGAGGAGAAAAAGAGCATTTATTTCATTGAAGTAACATGGTGACTTACATAGAAAGGAGAAGAAAAGATTCTTAAAATTGTCTCCTTTTAGGATAGTAGATTGGGTGACATCTATCTCAGCTTAAATCACATCCTAATGTCGGAAACTGGAAAAAAGACGTTGGTTACTTTTACTGTTTTTAGAATCCACTGACGATTAAACTATTTCAGTAACAAAGCGTTTCAAATGTGTGAGTGATTTTCTTATTGATCGTGGATTTGCATTCTTGTTTGATTCTTAACTTATAGACTGAGGTCTGCATAAACAACAGTTAAAGAAAAGGTGTAGGGATTATCGATGCTGTGCTAAAGCACATTTCTTTACTCGAGTCTTTTTAAGACTTTGACCTCGAAGTTACATAGATATCCCTCAGAAAGAGATGGCATACTCAGGTACTGCCATGCAGGTTTAAACTCATGCTGATGTTCGCTGCTGATACACTTCGGCTTCCAGTAGAAGTTGAGCTTAAAGGCGGTCCCTCAGTATTCCCATGATGCAACGCGATGAAGAGAGTTTTGTTAAGTCTCCTATTTGTTTGGAATACGAAAGTTACTTTGCAATTTATGCTATTTTAAACGTGCATGCTTATAAAGTAATGTTTTTGTTAGTAGTAATTCTTGTGATAGTTTACAGTGAAGAGTGAAGGGAATGTTTCATTTTATAAGTACAGCCGCACTGTGTAATTCAGAAATTGTGTGTCAACTGCATGTATTTCACACGAGTGATTATTTTCTCTTTCTGTTCTTGTTTTAAACTTTCTCTGTAACAAAATGCGAAATAATATACAATGTTTTAAAAGGTAAAATTCCTTTAAATAAGACACAGGATCAAACATTAGAAAGAAGAATGCGGGGATTAGACTAATCGCCAATAAAAAGGTTTGCGCTTCTAAGAAAAAGAAGACGATGCTTAAACAGTCTGGCGGTTTTCTTCTTCTCCCCCTCCTGAGTATCGCTGTGCCTTTTATAACAATACTTACACAGACAAACTTAGATGACTATGGAGTGTATGCACAAAAAATGTTTCTAGTACCTAAACAACAGCTTGCTTTTTTAAGAAGACCTCTGGCACATGAGTCTATTCGAGAAAATTGTTGAAAATTATTTGGATCGTACTATTAAAGACATTGTTGATCAGAAGACTGAAGATCTTCATAAAAAAAACAAAAAAATAGACCTGAACACACTAACTTTGTCAATGCCGGTCGGAGCAGAAGAATCAAGAAGTAAGAGATTTTGTTTTTGAAGAAGTTTTAAAAAACATACCAAAAAACAGCAGGAATAAAGCTCAGCATATTTTGGATAAAATGTCCTCCTCAAAAAACATATCTGCATGGACTGAACGTGGGGAGTTTGTGTTTAACAGTAATGTTATTAAAGGGTCTCATGTGTATGATTTGATAAGAGGAGTAACTGCTTCTCACAGCGTGTCTGACAGCCAGAGACCTACAGGTTGGCTAGAATGAACATAGCTTTATCAGTTGTGCCAAATCAACAGGTCAAAAGAAAAATTGACGAGTTTAAGAAAAAGACT